CTCTTAACAAACTAACCACCCTAAACCGTTTCCTAACAGCTTCCCTATGATGGCTAGCCACATGCATGACCATCTACATGCATGACATGCACGAGTATTCTAGATTATTCTAGCTCACGTGCACACACAGCTTATACCTATCTCAACATTCTCTCCACTTCTTTCTTCTCCTCTTCTTTAACAAGCTAATACTTGTAATTTGCCACGAAACTGCTCAAATGCAGCCTTGGTGAGAGGTTTGGTTAATCCATCCGCTATTTGAAACTCAGCAGGGACATAGCTAACACGAAGAGCACCAGCTGCAATCTTCTCACGAATGAAATGCACATCGAGTTCAACATGTTTAGACCGAGCATGACAAACCGGGTTCACGCTCAAGGCTACAGCACTCGTGTTGTCGCACCAAATGACAGGTGCCTCTTGTAGAGACAACCCAAGGTCATACAGCAGCGCCGTAAGCCAGGTCACCTCTGCAGCAGACTCAGCAACGCTCCGATATTCTGCCTCCATGGTTGATCGAGAGACAGTTTTCTGCTTCTTGGAGTTCCATGCAACCAAACACTCTCCAAGGAAGACACAATATCCAGACATGGATCGACGATCACTGGCATCACCAGCCCAGTCAGCGTCAGAAAATGCTTTGACACACAGCCGAGCATCTCCTTTTGAGAACACCAACCCATGATCAAGAGAACCTGCTAGGTAACGTAGAATTCGCTTAACTGCTGCAAGGTGACTCGTTCGCGGAGACTGCATGAACTGAGCTGCTTTGTTAACTGCAAACGCAATATCTGGTCTTGTGTGACAAACATACAGGAGAGCGCCCACAATACTCCTATATTCGCGAGCATTAGACATTAGATCACTCGGTTGACCATCAATCTTCGTGGCCACCATGGGAGTACACACAGATGTGGCTTGACTCATGTTGGTTTTCTTCAGTAATTCACATATGTAGGCACGCTGACTTAACAGCAGTCCAGCACCAATCTTCTTGACCTCTATTCCCAGAAAATATGAGAGTTCACCAAGGTCCTTAATTGAGAACCGTAGGCTAAGCAATTGAACGACCTGATCAATAGCTGAACCCGACGTTCCGGTGATGATGATATCATCTACATACACCAAAGCATAAGTACTGCAATCGTCCTGGACTCGAACAAACAGAGAGACATCAGCCTTCGATTCCACAAACCCAAGCTCTAAGAAGCAAGCTTTAAGCTTGTCATTCCAGTTCCGAGGAGCTTGTCGAAGGCCATAGAGGGCCTTCTGCAGCTTACAAACCAGTGGAGTTCCATCTTCAGCACATCTCTCAAATCCAGGTGGTTGATGCATGTATACCACTTCGCTCAAGTCACCATTCAAGAATGCATTGTTGACATCCACCTGTCTCAACGCCCAGCCTCTTGCAACTGCCAAGGCGAGAAGAACATAGACTGTGGAGAACTTTACAACAGGGCTGAACGTGTTCGTGAAATCGAACCCTGGAACTTGAGTGAACCCTTTTGCCACCAACCGCGCCTTATATCTATGCACAGTGCCATCTGAATTTCTTTTAATCTTAAACAACCATTTACAACCGACCACACTTCTATCAGCAGGTAGAGGAACAAGGCTCCATGTGTCATTCTTAATCAACGCAGAATATTCATCTTGCACCGCTTCAGACCACGGGCCAGACTGAAGTGCTTCTTCAATCGTTGCTGGGACAATATCATCAAAAAACGTGGTGTATATTTTTGGTCGAAACACACCACACTTACTTCTAGTCAACATAGGGTGCCCAGTACCAACCACATCGCTTGTTCTTTCATCTGTCGATGGTTGCACTTCCAGGTCGACTTCACCAGCACCAGGTCCGACAGATGTAGCAGCAGACTCATGGACATCACTCGACTGTGCAGAACCGTGCCCAGAAGCATCTGCAGACAAGTCAGCAAGTCCCGACTGTCGAGCAGAAGTAGCACACAGTTTGCTAGCATCAGCTACTATGTCAATGGCTTGGCTCAGCTGCGAACGAACTCCCAACCGTTCAGTAGAACTGTGCTGAGCAAATGGGAAGCACCACTCATCAAATTTCACATGTCGAGACACTACAACTCGTTTATTAGGTGTGAGACATAAGTAACCCCTGTGTTGAGGACTTGGCCCCAAAAACGTGCACGGTTGCGACCGAAAGTCAAGCTTATGACTGTTGAACGGTCTTAGGTGGGGGAAGCATCGACATCCAAATACTTTAAGCGAGCCATATTCAGGCGTCTTGTTGAACAAACACTCGAAGGGGGACTTTCCAGCTAAAACCCTCGTAGGCAACCTGTTAATTAAGTGAACTGATGTTACCACAGCATAGGACCAATAGCTGATCGGCATGGACGCCTGCGCAAGTAGTACTAAAGCCAGTTCAACCACATGGCGGTGTTTGCGCTCCACGACACCATTCTGCTCTGACGTGTGTGGGCAGGTAACACGATGAGATACACCAGCTTCTGCAAGCACACGCGACAGCCGACGATATTCACCGCCCCAATCGCTTTGTACTGCCAGGACTTTCAACCCAAATTGCGTTGCAACGAACTGCTGAAATAGGAGGAAGGCCTGTGTAGCCTGAGACTTATCCTTAAGCAAATACAGCCACGTGTGTCGAGTGAAAGCATCAACAAAACTGACATAATACCTAAACCCGTTTGAAATAACAGGCGATGGTCCCCAAAGATCAGAAAAAATAAGCTGAAAAGGAAAGTCATACTTAGTAGTTGAATCCGTGAAGGGGAGTTTGTGACTTTTTCCCATATGACAAGCAATACAATTCTCATTAATCTTTTGTTCACAGTTTACATCAATGAGTTTGCAAATTTGCTCGAGAGTGGCATGAGCAGGGTGCCCAAGACGCCTATGCCACAAGTCATACAAATGATTGGAGGAATCAACTTTGTTTGCTACAAAACAAGCACTCTTATTACAACTATCATCAACTTGAAACAGATATAAACCATCATTCTCCTTCCCATGCAGCAATACATCACCAGTAGCTTCATCACGAACACAGCAGCGTGATGCATGGAATTCAAAATACACCGCGTTATCCTTAGCAAGCTTCGAGACGGATAGAAGATTTTTAGTTACCTTAGGTACATGAAGAAGATCATTTAATTGTAAAGCTCGAGTAGAAGAGCACAAAACAGATTTACCAGTAGCTTGAATTGGCAGTAAACTACCATTACCAACCAGCAATTTACCTGGTCCTGAGAACTCTTTTGAGTTGAAGACCTTGGTTGAATCAGCAGTCACGTGGTGCGTAGCTCCAGAGTCTAGCACCCAGTGATCCCTCGTGCTAGAAGCGATATGACTTTGCGGCTGTGACGAGTAAGCGCATCCATCAAGAGTAGACGGTTCCAGGCTGGTGCAGTTCACTGAACCCGAACCACCACGGCTTACAGCTCTTTCAGCCGACCGACCAGTAAATGACTGATCGAACCTGTACCAGCAGTCAACGACAAGATGCCCATTTTTCCCACATAATTGACATTGAACACGTGGTCGACCACGGCCCCGACCTCCAGTCCGACCTCCAGCGCTGGTTCCAGACCTGCCAGAAGCCCGATCATGATACACGTGACTTGCAGTCTTCAAGCTAGAGTCAGACTGAACAACGTGAGCACTCATTGGCAGAAGTTCTTCTTGAGCGTCAAAGCCCGCAAGCTGTGTTTCTGCATCGATCAACATCGAGCAGACCCTATCGAGAGATAAGGCGTCTTTCATAGTGGTGATGAAGGCAATATACGGGTGGTACTCTCGGGGAAGACCTTTGAGAATACTTGCAACCTGTTCGGCCTGAGGAATAGCACTGTCACAGGAATCTAAAGCATCGCACACCTCTTTGATGCGAGTGAGGTACATTCGCATGCTGTCACTGCCTTTCTTGAGTGACTGAAGCTTGTAATGCAGGCTGATGACTGCTGTGGTTGACCGGTTCGCGAAGAACTGCAACACCTTGCTCCAGACCGCCGCTGCCGTCTCCGCTCCAACAAACTGGGACAGCAAGTGTGGGCTGATCGTGGACAATAACCAGGAAGCAAGCGCACTGTCTTGTGCAACAAACTCCTCATGCAACTCATTCACCACCGTATCACCATTCTCAGCCTCAATTGTCTCAGGAGGAGAACGTGCCACGCCTGTTAGTAACCGCTCCAGCCTATGGCTGCGCACAGTCAGCAAGATTTGCTGTTTCCAGAGTAGGAAATTAGATTCATCGAGAATGATGTTAATTTTTTTTGTTTGTGAAGGTCTTTCCAACAGAAGTCTCCATGATCACGAGCTTAGCACAGCAAGCAAGAATCCTCAGAAACGTCCGGCGAATGATACCATGTGAAGCAAATTAAGAATTGCAGAAAACAAACTAACAGAAACGAGGAAGAGAGGCATTTTCTTTATTGATATAGCATACTTTCTTCACCTTTACACTTGACATATATAGCACAATTATAACAACCTCTTAACAAACTAACCACCCTAAACCGTTTCCTAACAGCTTCCCTATGATGGCTAGCCACATGCATGACCATCTACATGCATGACATGCACGAGTATTCTAGATTATTCTAGCTCACGTGCACACACAGCTTATACCTATCTCAACAGTACATATATATTTTTTTGAATACTCTCTCGGTTCTAAGACTTTGTCTTGATTAATTCGGATCGATCCGTATCGTGAGTACATATATTTTAATAAAAAAATTAGGTTGGTCATGTTGATTAACGTGTTACATAATCCGAATAACATATTAACGATTATGTGATAAAATATAATAAATAAAAAACGTAAACTATTGAAATATAATTGTTTTCAAAATAATTGATAAAAACTAGACAAATTTAAAACAAAAGTGACTAAACTAGTAGTTTACCAAATAAAAAGTATAAATTTCTATAAAAAAATTCGTTTTTTTTTTTAAAAAAAAACTCTTTAAAATAAAGTACAAATCTTTCAAATCAATCAAAATAATAAATAATTAAATAAAAAGAAATCCTTAACGCGCCAATTCACGCGCGGCCTGTTTTTCCTCCGACGTTCTAAAAAAATGGAAAAGTCGAAGACAGAAACGGAACGGAGGTCCAGCTCTGCGCAATTTCCGACCGGATATCAGAACACCATGACTGACCCGAAAGATTCGGATCCTGCAACGGATATGGAGGTCTTTGTTATTGTGCCAACATCAGAGCCGGAGACAAATGAAGAGAAGGTGATTGAGATTCCAAAACAGAGTCAGACTCAAAGCGAGCAATCACCGAACCGGAGGAAATTAGTTCATTGGAGCCCCGAATTGGTTAGAGATTCGCCTCCGGCAGATCAAGGAGCCACCATGCCTCCTCCTTACCGGTCCAATCCTTACGTTACTCACAGTCCTGCTCTAGAATCTTCTTCGTCTCCCTTCAAAGGCCAGCCATCACACGATTATTTCATTATCGTTATCTTATTTATCGAAACATTTTATTCATTTATTTTTGAAACTGGAAACAGAGAAAATGGATATAGTGAAGGATGTCTTAGGGAGATGGGGGAGGAAAGTGGAAGAAGCGACGAGGAAAGCCGAAGATCTGGCCGAAAACACGTGGCAGCACTGTATGCTTTCTTTTCTTTTCCCTTGTAAAATTTCAGTTCATTTTTATACGATTCATTTTTAACAGAGGAGGTGTTAAACTTCATTATTTAATCTTTCCCTCTCGCTCTGTAACATAGTTTTTAACTTTTTTTTTAAAGGAAATGCAGCATTGAATTTAGTGAAATTTGGTTTGATTTGACATTTGTCTTGTGTGACCATTTACTTGGAATCGGATCTAACAGAATTGATGATTGGGCTTATATAATCCAAAATAAGGTTATGATACCAGGGTTCCTCAAATTGTATTTTCAGATCTTATGCTTAAAGGATGAGATATGCACATGCATTTTATCAAACAAAGGACTCAAGGCGGTAAAATATTTACTAACGATATGCATCTAATTCACAGATTTCTAAGGAGGTCATTACATTAGGGGTTAGAAAACTGGTGAAAGTGCTTGCAGTGCAGCTAGATCGTGAACGTGCACTAGTCCTATGATTGGCTCTTTACAAAGGGGGATGCCAATGCATAGTAAGAGCTTCCTGGTCTATGTTCTCAGAGTGATGGCATAGCTTTAGTTTTAGTTCCTCAAATTCCCAATGATTGGTTCAAGCCTCTCTTGTCCTTTTTCTCAGTGCAATCAAATCTCCCTTTATTCTACATTTAGATGGGTAGGTAGTTTTAACTTATAGAAGTATTTGCCAGATTATTACCACTACCATTACAATGGTTGTTTTAAGTTTAATATTTTAGTGTTCTTGAATCATGTGCATCATCCCATCACTTCTCTGGGATGCTTAAAAACTACCCATATGTATATGTTATAAATATGACACATGATTATTGTTTCCGGCTAAAAGATTGAATTATCATTATCGAGACTGTAGTTGCTATTTTGATCGTTGAGATGTCTTATGTAGATTTCATATGACAAGTCTTTCCGTATAATATCCCCCTAAGCATTGCTCTTGTCATTTGAGAATTTGTTAGCTACGATATTCCTTTTACATTGTCTATTCGTCTTTGGTTTTTAAACATTAGAAGTCTCCCCTATTCCTTATTTCTTTCCTTCGAGTATTGTAGTGTGCGTATGCATCACCAACATTCATAATTTCGATTGTACATGTTGCCCAAGCACTCTATAACCCAAATTATCACATTCCATTGGCACTTACGGCCTTGTTTATCTCGTATTTGCTACATTATCTCACTTTTTCTTCTTAAATCACCTCAACGTAGTCATACACTGAATGACCATGAAAGTAACGGTCTTATGTATTCTTGGTCATGTTATGAACCCTCTTGTGTTGATCTTGTATGGCAATTTTCTTTACAATCGTAAACGCTGATTTCCTTTGGGCATAAGGACATTCTTTTGCTTTTGTTTCATAGAAGAATATGGAAAATAGAGTTCACATATATTAGCTAGAATAATATGCTATTAGTAGTCTTTCTAATACGTGAACCTGTCTCCTCCCTCTTGCTTCTCAAGCAGTTTTTATATATGTATAATTACTGAAATTCTTTTTTCTCTCTTTTCTTAAATCAGTGAAAACAAGCCCAAGGTTTACTGAGGCTGCCATGGGAAGAATTGCTCGGGGAACAAAGGTTTTAGCAGAAGGTGGCTATGACAGGGTTTTTAGACAAACATTCGATACAGTTCCCGAAGAACAACTTCTAAATTCATATGCTTGTTATTTATCCACATCAACTGGTCCTGTAATGGGAGTTTTATATGTTTCTACTGCAAAGCTGGCATATTGCAGTGACAATCCTCTTTCCTATGAAATTGGGAGCCAGACTGAATGGAACTACTATAAGGTATATTTCCTTTAGCATTAGCCTTACTTCCGTTACATGATTGCAATAGAAATTTTTTTTAGTAGTTGAGATCCTATTTCCACTCTGTTCCATGCTGATGAAACATGATACTTGGAAAAACTTGTAAAAAATCAAACATACTCGAATCAGGCACTTACGCACTCGTCTGAGTACCATAGCATCACATTGATACTTGATGCCTGAAAATATTTCATTAGTGGCTTATGGTATAAGGAAATTATTAGTTATGATTCTTGATATTCTTCTGTCTGCTTAAACAGGTTCTTGTCCCTTTACATCAACTTAAAGCCATTAATCCTTCGACAAGTAAAGTCAATCCCGCTGAGAAGTACATCCAAATTATCTCTGTTGATGGTCATGAATTTTGGTTCATGGGCTTCTTAAACTACTACGGCGCCATTACATGCCTTGAGGAAGTGTCCGAACTCCATGGCACTTGATCTATGTGATACCATGCTGGTTGGAAGCATTTGATGATACATGCCATGCCCCATGGGGTGTTTTCGATTCAGGTAACTGTAGAGTTTATCAGACCAAATGTTTCTTCCGTGAGACAAGTTACTGATTATATATATTTATTCTCCGATTGGTTTTCCGAAGTTGTTTAGCGATTGTTTTCGCTGCCGGCAACAGCCTCATTGAATAGATTTCGGTTAACAGAGTCGAACTTAGTCCCTAAATCTGATGCAGCTCCGGTGAATGGGCCTTACAAAAACAAAACAAGTGACATCTAACAAAAGAGGTGGGTAATAAAAGAAATGTACATAATTTTGGTTAAGAAAATTGCACGAGTAAAGTAGTAAAATGTTCTGGCCAAAAAATGTAGAAAGAATGATTTTTATTCTTAAAGAAGTTATAAGTTTGCTAATATATTATCGTTCTTTTATAAAATTTATTTATTTATTTTAGAGATCGAGTCTCCACGGTGAGTAATTCATAATTCGGAGGTCTCCACGGAAGCTGCTCTCAACTATTATACTACCTCCCCTTATCCCATTACATATGAGAATAAAGATCAATTAATTATTTATTTATTTATTTTAGATAATATCCGATTCATTAGATTTTAACACTAATCACAATTAATATCCTTTTTTCTATTATCGAATCATCATATTCAATAAATCATTAAAGCTTCGTTCGCAAAATGACTAATCTCACATTAAGTGAGAAAAAGATTTTATTAGTATCTGTTAGATTTAAATAATTTTATTATTATGTTTAGATAATTTGTATATTTATGTATTCAAAGAAAACAACAAACTGTTACAAACAACAAAAATATCACAAAAAATCCGATACTTAATTAAGAAGATCTAACTCTCTACAAAGATCAGAATTTATAAGACACGTCCTGTTAATTTCTTTATTATTATCTCTATTGTTGTGTAAGCTACATGTTTAAAAATCGGTTGGGGATTGTTTCATAGTTTTTGATAAATTGAATGATCAATTTATAACTTTTTATAATTAAATGATTCATTTAAAAAGAACCTTATAAATTAGAGACTATCTTCTTAATTTACCCAAAGATTAGGATACATTCCAACACCGAATCAGCATGATTGAAATTTCTGGAATTCTACTCGAACGTAGAGAAAACCATTCGGTGGGTTACAGGAGTTCAGCCAGGAAAAAGAAAACCCTAGATAAGCCACCCTTAATATATAAATACACTTCCAAGTTGCAGCCCCTCCCATCTGTATCTCCTTTTACATCAAACCATGGAGCCGCTCACTACAACCATCACTCATTCCATTAGCACTCTTCCGGCCATCACCTTCCCCACCTCAACTACTCTCCCTCCTCGTCTCCGCCTTCCGCCGCTCTCCCTCCCCGCCTCCTTCCGTCTCCGTTCCCGTAAGAAACCCCTAAACTCCTCTTTTTTAGCTTCATTTCTATTGATATCAGTCTTTCTATGCTACTCTTCATATTAGAAGAGCTGATTGGCTTCTTTTTTTTTGTAGGGGTTTTGCGATTTAGTAGTCCACTGCCTAAAGCAACAACATCGGAAGAAGCCTCATCCACCGGTCCGAACCGGTTTTTGGGTGACGATCGCGACGGCGTTGCCACTTTTGAACAAGTCCCGGCGGTTGAGAAGAATGTTATCAATGAAATGCTGTCTCCGGAAGAACCTGAATTAGAGTCAGCTTCCGAAGAGGAATCGCTGATGTTTGAGTTTTTGGAGAAGCTTAATATAAAGGTTTACCCTTCGTTTCATCTTTTTGTTTAGATTCGTCATTATTTATGTTACTAACTGCAAAATGAATTTCTCTTGGATTTTTTTGCTCCTTTTTCGTTACCAAATTGGGTTGCAGTGATGATGTTTTGGAATCAGTGGAAGGCATTTGTTGAATGCTTGATGAAACTTTCGACCATTGTGTCGATCCTGAGCGGTTACCTGAGCGACCTAGTGATATGATCTATTAGAATGCTTTGAAAAAAGAAAAAAAAGAAACATCATAGGTTATTTACTTGACTGAGAAATGAGCTCTTGTTGGATTCTTATGCTTCCTTTTTGTTATCAAATTAGTTTGCAATGATGAGGTTTTGGAATCAGTGGAAGGCATTTTGTTGAATGCTTGATGAAACTTTCGACCTTGTGTCGATCCTGAGCGGTTACCTGAGCTACCTACTGATTTGATCTATTAGAATGGATTGAAAAAAAAGAAAAAGAAACATCATAGGTTCTTTACTTGACTGAGAAATTAACTTTTGTTTGATTTTATGCTCCCTTTTTGCTATCAAATTAGTTTGCAACGATGAGGTTTTGGAATCAGTGAAGGCATTTGTTGAATGCTTGATGAAACTTTCGACCATTTTGTTAATCCTGAGCGGTTACCTGAGCAACATAGTGACTTAATCATACCTTTTCACCATCTGTCTCACTCATGTTGTTTGGATTTTGGACTCGGTTGTGAGTTTGGGATATGTGTATGTTTTCATTTTTTTAAAAGATTTTTATATATTAAGATCCTTAGAGGGGTCATATTCCCTTTGCACATATCTTTTTCCCCGAAATGATATTTTGTGTTTTCATCTTAGTGAAGGTTAGAACCACTTCTTTTCTGTTCTTTGCCTTGCTTAGATTTTGTTCATTATGTATTAGTTAACTTCTTTAATGAATTTGCAATTTGGTTGCTGTGATGATTAGTTCCAATTCATTTTCTTCTTTCTTCAATTCTTATAGATAGCTTTCCCCGTAATTTTGGCCGATCATATTGTTTTGTTTGTCCCTCTTTATCCCTGTTTCTATAGTTAGTTTAAAAAGAATTCAATTTCAAACGGTGTTGTAAGTTTGCTCACATTCAATTCATCATACTTTGAGAGCTTTTTTTTTATAATTTGCTTCTTTTCTTACAAGTACTTTCCATTTCTAATGGTTTCTGAATCAATTCTGATGATTGGAATACTAAACACCTGCAGCTTGACAATGAAGATGCATATTCAATCATATTATATGGAAGTGGTACCTTGTTTGCTTTGTGGCTAGCATCTGCTCTTGTGGGTGCTATTGATTCAATTCCATTGGTGTGTTTTAAATCCGAATTCCCGAGTTTCTTTGGACCATGAATAAAACATCTCATATTCCTTTTGGCTAACGATTGTAATCGTAAAATTCAGCTCCCTAAATTGCTGGAAGTTGTGGGTCTCGGCTACACATTCTGGTTTACCTCCCGGTATCTGATATTCAAGGTAACAGCCTGGCTCTTAAACAATCAAGGTTCTAAATTACCACTGCATGACATAAAGAGAAGTATTAATTCCGGTTTCACTGGCATTTGGCAGAAAAACAGGGAGGAGTTGGCTTCTAAAATCGAAGAGCTTAAGCAGCAGATATTTGGCTGGGATGACAAATGATATGGTAGGATGGATTCGGGCAGTGTTTTGATTGATACATGAAAAAGGGAAGGGAAGGGAAGGGAAGGGAAAGCGGAGTTGATACTTTCTCTAGTAGAACCATGACTGGTTAAAATAGCATCAAGATAAAAAGGATGTTTGAGTTTCTTTTTCCATGAACCCACCCTGCTTCATGTAGTTACTTCGTTCATTAGCAGTGGTTGATGTTGTTTATAAAATGTTTAGCCTTAAGATTAATCTTTAAAAAAATGATAAGAATTTAGAGTATCAGAATTCATAAATTTAAAATATTAAAACAATGTATAAGGCGTGTATACTTTTTGAAAATATCATTTTGAGGTAAAAGTCTTGAATCTTAATTTGTTATAAGCTAATAATAATAATAATAAAATTATAAATGGTCTGATATTTATTTGTCCCTTAAAATCTTCTATCCATTAAATTTAGGATTAGAGATGTAAAGATTTAAATATTTAGGAGTTTGGGTAATGGTAAGGGCAATAACCAGTCAATGGGTATGCATCGATAAGTAGACCTGGTGGCCGAAGATGATTAACGACAATTGGAAATGAGTTTGAAATTAATGAATTTAGGGTTTAAGAGTTTTTTTTTTTTATTTTAAAGGAATTTGAATTTTTTTATAAATATTTTTTATTTTAAAATAAAATTTTATAAACCTGACATGTATCAGAAAACGACTAGGTGCCTAAAAGTATAACAGAGAAAACATTAAGCATCTATTTTGAGCGAAAAATTCTTGAGACGCCTAAAATTAACTCAGGGTATAATTTAAATATTTTTTTACATCAAGCCTAAAAATTAACTTAAGATATAATCTAAACAGTTATTTTTTCCCATTAAGCCTAAAAATAATAGGATAATAAATTGAGGCAAGTCATTTTGATGAAGCAAATCTTGGATCAGCTGGGTTTGTCTTTGAGCCGCACATGGTTTGGGACAGTCCAAACTCCACATGCTGTTGCCACTCTTGAAAACTGCTTTGCCAATAATCAAATACATGTCTTTTGGGTGTGATCAATTCATCAAACATTGACTATCTATTTGTAGCTCACCACATGGTCTTTTTTGTTCTATTAGGCCAATACTATCAACTCACACCTCAACTCCCCTTTGATCTTTTTATGTATGTATTAAGTTAGTAAAATTAGAAGTTTAATATTTTATATAGCGATCTGAATTTTAAGTTAATTTTTGTATATTAATTTAAAGATTAAATGAATTAATCAATAATTATTGAATTGAAAAAAAATAGTTCTTTAATAGTTTAAAATAATTATAATATATTTATTTAAAATCTCTTTTAAACATTAATAATAAACCCTTATAAACATAATTGCTCAAATATAAAATCTCGATACTATTTTCTATGGCTGTTGAGTTCGTTCAAATATTAGAATCATAACACTTTTGATGAATTATAATGTGCAAGAGTGTTGACATAATGAGTAACAAGACAAAGATCATAAAATGATTTAAAGTGCACTAATCTTTTTAATTTTTAAAATACTTTTTTATCAAAGATATTATCACAGCCTTTATTTTTTAATAATTAAAAATTAATGATAGATATTATACGTTAATTTATTAACCATGATAAAAATAATATTTTGATGAAGTCCATTAATATTTATGTTGCTTTCAAACACTTACTTAATAACATAATATTTCAAGCATTAACTCGATAATATAATATGAACAGAGAGTTGATTCATAAAATATAACTTAAACTATTTTAAGTTCCGATTTTATTATAGTGATCCCTAGTCAAGAGAAAAAAAGAAAAGACGTAAAATAATGTGAAAATAATAAAAAAGTATGGGAAGAAACCACTTTATTTTACATTTCTATAATATTGTCAATACTTTCATAAACCAAATATCTAAAATGTTAAACTTCATCAGACAACAACTATTTATTACTTCTAATTTACACGTGTCAAATTTAGAGCTCGTGTGCAGACACTGATTGGCCTTTACGGTATACACGTAAGCGAACTAGGAGGGATGTCAGTACACTTGTTGCCGGATCAACGGTTAAAAATATATTGGGCTTTGGCGTTTTTCCCGAAATATCTTATATACCCTATAATATTTTATATCAGACACTCTTTAGATTATTTTTCTCGATCTAACATCCTTTGCAGTAAGGCGCGCCATCTGCAGCGCGTTTTACACTGATATAGACACATATGTCTAAAGCGCGACCCCTGGGGCGCGTCTTACGACACGTAAGACTATAGCACGGGTCAAGGGCTGCGCTTTTCAATTATCACATTCTCAATTATTAGACATGCATAATGCATGACGCGGTGCACGGACCGCGCTTTGCATTATTTACCCTGACCTCTCTGTTTTAAAGCATCATCTCTCAACTATAAATAGTCATCTCCCCGTAAACTCTCTTACAATTCCCTCTCAACCGAGAAATTAATACAACAATCCTTTCAACTAGTAAATAACACCCGATAATCTTCTTATATTTAATTCAAAAGTTCGTTTGATTTTCGTTATAAGGTAACTTTGTTGTAATATTTTTTTATTATACTTATTGTTTATTATGATTATTTGAAAAAAATATTATAGTAATTGCTTTCAATTAATTTCTGTGCCAGTTCAAGGGGAAAGCATACTTCGAAATATTTTTTCAGTGCAGGTAATAATATAAAATTATATTATTTAAATTATTTACGTTTATGTGTAAAAATTTTAATGTGTTATATTTTCGTTCTTATATTATATATTTAATCAGATTTGTTTCAGTTATTTTTTTACAGATATAATATTGTCGCACTTTTAAACTCTAAGAATGACACGACTTTTAACTATTGCTTATTATGATGGAGAAATTCGAGAAGATGAAACCGACGTTGTTTACGTATCAAATGAGCGTGTTAAAATATCATTCAAGAGAAACATTACTCTTGAGGAGCTGATAACGAAGATTTCGAGGAATGTTCATGTTGGAAGTAGTAGAAGAATGTCGTCGTTGCAGTATATATTTCCAACATCATTGTTGTCATTAACTTATACAACGTTCGAACTATCGAACAATGATGATGTTGAAATGATGGCTGATTCTCAAAGTAATTATTCAGACGACGATATTGAGATGTATGCAAAGTTTGTTCAAGTGCGTGTTGTTCGGGGTCAGTCATTAAGCTCCCACTATGGGCTGGATAAACAAGTTGATCAAGTTGACAGCCCGACTACAGTAATGTGTAATGATTTTAACGCCATAATGGGAAATTCGCATCATGGTGTCGTCACATCAACTTCAATGGGGAGACATTCATCCGCAACTCTTTACGATATGTACTGAGGTGGGTCCACAAACAATCCATATGGCAACATCGCGTCCAGTTTAAGGGGAATACATTCATCTGCAAATTTCTTTGACCTTGATATAAAGATGCCATCGATGCAACAATCTGTGCAGTTTCCATTTGACACGATGGCTTCAAGCTCCAAGGGGAGGCATTCCAATGCGAGCTTTTTCGATCTCAATGTCGATATGCCTTCTAGTTCAAGGGGAAGGCGTGCAAGTAGTAGGTTATTCGACCTAAATGTGGAGAGCATGTATGAATTATCATCTCCACCAGAAGAACCGCTTCGTGAGCCTGGTGCGGATGGTGCTGAGACTGGACTATTCATTCACCCAGAATCACCGCAATTCAACTCTGATGATGATGATAATGTAGATGAAGTTTCATTAAATTTGGCACAAACTGACCCTCCAGCACACATGTATGAAGCTGATTATGGTGCAATGTTCGGGCCAGAATTTGCGGATATGCATAATCTCGGTAACTATGGATATTACTCATCAATAAATAATGGTGAGTTATCTTTAGTCATGGAGTTTTCAAGCAAAGAATAAGCGATGATGGCTATAAAAATTACAATATATGTAATTCTGTTTAATTGAGAGTTGACCGCTCCACGACAGAAAAATATGTATGCTACTGTGTCCGACGCGAAAACGGATGCAATTGGATAGTTCGCGTATCGAAGAGGAAGAGGAAAAACAATAGATGGGAACTAACAGTATACAACGGTCCCCACACATGTTGTGCTGGAGGGGTCAACCAAGATCATCCCAACTTAGACTCTGAAGTGATATGCCAAGCCACCATGCCTATAGTAAAAGTAAGCTCTCATATAGCTGTTGCTGTGCTGATTTCAGCTATACAATCGCAGTATGGGTACATTGTCTCCTATAAAAAAAGCTAGGTTAGAAAAACAAAAATGCCATTGTCAAACTTCATGAGGAATGAGATGCATCTTACAACGAATTTCTAGGCTGGTGCGGAGGTTGAATCCTGGGATAATTGTGGACTTCAAAACCTCCTATGCATACCATAATGATCGAGTTCTTCGCGATCGATGCCAATTCTACCGGGTTTTTTGGACTTACCCACAGTGCGTTAATACTGTCAAATATTGTAAGCCTGTGGTCCAGAATGACGGGACTTTCTTGTATGGAAAATACAAGTAAATTTTATTATTAACAGTTGTCCAAGATGACAATCGCAACATTCTTCCAGTTGCTTTTGCTCTTGTTGAAGGAGAAGATATATATTCTTGGGCTTTTTTCCTCCGAAACTTACGTGCACATGTTATCACAGGGAGGTGACTGTCGGTCTCGAGGAGGATTTCTTCGTATCAGTGGTTGTGACTCATCGCTGTCATCATCATCACCATCATCGTCGTCTTCTTGAGCAACTACAATAGGTTGATGAGGAGCTGGTGACGATGAAGCACCTCCATAAAATAAGGACCCTGGAGGTGTATGACTGATTTTCCCACCGACCTGGGAAAACTCATAAAACCTAGACATCATTGAGTGTGAAAACTGTACAGGAGGTGTCTGTGTTATAGCTATAGGTGATGAGGCTGAACCCGCCAAAATGTGGGTATATGAACCCCAAGTTGGATATGCAAACATAGACCCATAATATCCTCCAGGAGGGGTCATAAAACTTTGTGACGGTGGCGGGGGGGGAGAAGGGGGTCATAAAACCAGGTGACAGTGGCGGCGGTGACATCGGGTAAGGGAACGTCGGTGGCGATATCACATATGGTTGCGGTATGTAAGTCGCTGTAGACGGTGGCTACTGTGAAGGTCCTGCTGGT